TTCAGCTGATGTTCACTAGAATGTATTAGAATTTAAATAAAGAAAAAAAAAAAAAAAACCAAGGAGAAAATATAGTTAATAACTAATTGTTTTATGAAATTGTGTGCAGTGTGTACACAAATAACTCTTTGTCGTCAGATTAGAATATTTGACAAGAGTATACCAAAACAGTGGTACTGAAAGTATCATCATGGTTTAGGTGAAGAAACATCCACCTCAGAGATTATGGTAAATACAGTTAATAAGGCATATCTTGTAAAAGGGGGGAAAAAACCCCAGAGTTAACGCATAATTTAGCTGCCGATGTTAAAATTGTAGTAATGCTTCTAGTGTTGGTGAACACAGAGAGGGGCACACCACTACCTCAAGCAATTCTGTAAACTGGCTTCTTCTGATAAGAAGTCTGCAATTTAGCATGGTGACATGCTCAGAAAAAATGAATGCCAAGAGTAAGCTAAGATTATGCTTAGAATGATTTCTTTATCGAGACAATTTCATATAGTGTAGATAAGGATTCAAACGTGAAAGTGTTTATTATCCAGTCTTGCAAAAAATTGGCAAATGTTTTAACCTGAAAGCAATGCATTTTCTCTTTATTGGCCCTTGTTTTTACACCTCATCATCTCATCCAATAAATGGTAGAAATGAGTGAGTGTTTTGCAGGGCAATATAAGCTAAAGTTTTTATTCTGTGTGATGCTACTATATTGGATTACTGGTAAATTTTGGTATGGAGGACAAGGATTGAACCAGCAGGTATTCTGTTTAGACCAGACTGAGAGAATTGTGCTGGTCCCCAGCTGCAGTATTATGGCTTCTGCTTTATGCATAACTGGATTTTCCAAAAGTGCAATAAATCTGGAAAAAAGGAGGGGGGAGGGGCCCATGGGTGGAGCAGGGCGGAGCTCTAGCTTTCTGCCTTTTTGTGCTTACAAGAGGTAAAATGGGAAGGGAGGTATATTCCTGCTCTACTTATAAATGTTTTTCCTCTTTTCCATAAAAAAGACAGACCTAGTTTATTATACTTTGCAGCTGTAGTTCTAGGCATTTGACATCCATACTGCCAACTATAATAATTCTGAGTCAGCATAAGTTCCTGCTAAACTACACATCTCCTGTGTTCAAGAGGAGTATGCAGAGGAGCATACAAGAAAAAGATTCCTTAAAAGAAAACCAGCATTTTTATTCAGCAGTTCTTTTCTGTGAAGTGGAAACTGTTTGATCTCAAGTCTTCTGCCTCTCCTCCAAGTCATGTGCACAGCTTGTCTGGTAAAGATTTTTGCCTCTACGTGTATATGCAGGTTCTTCAGAGCTAAGCAAACTAAGCAGAAGTAGTACTGAATCAGTAGAATCCCAGACATTTCATAAAGGTTACAGGGAAGGGAAGCGACAGCTATTGTTAGTCTTCAAATGCAAATACTTCCCTCTCCAGATCCAGAAAAGGCCATCAATATGTGCTTGTTAGCTTAGAGAATGGTCCTCAAAACATTGTTGTGTACTGTTAGATACACACGCACCAAAAAGACGTAGAAGTGAACGACGCCTCTGTGTGTTGTATCTTCCAGATTATACAGGTAGCAATTCCACTTCACACTCAGTTACCACTTTTTGCCTACCTTAGAATGTGTTTTCTCATTTTCCCTTTCATCATTTGAAGAGGGGAAATGTGTAGATTAGTTCATAGGAGTCCATATACGAATAAACTAAAGAAGATAAAAAAATGTAGAGAATACCACAAAACGTGAACTGGATTCTCATGTGAACTTCTTTTCATATCAATTTGTGCTTAAGTGTGCTGAACAATCTGTATATCTCAATGACTCTTCGAAGGGGGCAGTTTGCCTGACTTCCATTTGGAACTGTAGTTTGCTCTGGATTCGCTGAAAAGTAAAACTAACACACCATTGTCAAGAATTGCAACATGTATTTCTTTCCCAGAAATATTGAGAAGTGTCTGAAGTGTTTTAAAAAAATGTCTGAATAAATAGAACAGAGTGGTAAACATAATAGCATAAGGAGTGCTGAAAATAAATTTTTTATCATATTTTCTGACAAGTTTATATGTTTAAGACTATTTTATCTGGAACCTAGGGAAGAATAGGTTCTGTCTTCAAAGAGCTCGCAATATGGTATTTTTTTCAGGTTTATGATAATTTTATTTGTAATTATATAATAAAATTAACTGTATCCCTCAAAAGAATTGCCCATTGAAATATACTGAAATGTTTCTATTCTGTCTCTTTGATCTGTTTCATGTAGGAAAGAAGGGAAAGGGAACGAAAACTGAGCAAAGAAATGGCAGAAAAAGCCACAAAGGAACTAGAAAAAATGCAGTTACAAGAAAAGGCCGAGGTAAAGTATAAAGAATGGTTAAAGAAGAAGAGAGCTGAAGAGGCAGAAAAGAAGAATAAAGAGAAGGTATTAATCAACTAATCATTTATTTGGATGGGATTACCTAATCTGTGACTTATATTAAATGTATTGCTTGATTGAATTGATTAGAATTTGTCAAATGGCAGTGTCGTACATGAAAAAAACTTTCCAAAGTTGTAATGTTAGTGCATTGAAGACATTGAGGTATGGTCAGCAAAGCAAGATGCATGTTAACACATTTTTGTTAATAGTCTTTGCAAACCCACTGCAA